AGGTGGAAGTGTCTCGGGGTAGGGCTTTCCCAGCCATCGTGAGGCACTTTCCTGAGTAACAAAAGCAGACGGGGAATAAGTGGCATGTAGATCAAATCATCTTAAACATAAAGCCATTTAGATGCAGTTGAAATGTAATTCAGAAAATCTTACATTTGTGCATGAATGCATTTTTTCTGATTTGATTAGGCAATTTACATCACTGGTATAATGTGTAGTTTGACATCTACAATATGTCATTGGAAGAAAGAAAAAATGTATTGCCTCAGTTTGTCACCCACAGGCCTCAAATACTTTGTCTGTAGACAAAAGACATTACAAGACACAAAAATGCCTGTTTCTTTCCTATATACCGTATAAACTTTATCATAGAAATTATTTTTTTTAATTAAATTTCTTCTATATTTGTCTGATGTCAGGTTAAAGCTGCAAGTGGACTTCTTATTTCTGATGGAGCAGCAAATGGTTAGTCTTGATATACAGTATGTATTCATGCACAGACAAACATTAAAGCTGATTTAGTTTTCAGTCCCCATTTCATACAGTAAATAAACACACATGGGGACTTAACCTATCACAGTGAAAATCAAAAAGAGTGAATGAGAATGTCTGCGCTCATATTGTAGATAATAACATTTGCATGTTTCCCACAGCTCCATCCATTCCTATTTGTATAAGGTTGCAGACAACATTACTGGTTGCTATAATCCTTCAAAGCTGACACTCATTATATGGCTGTTAATGTTGTCACTGTACTGGTGTGTGCCTCCAGGACGATGAATAATGGGTGCAGCAATTTTCACTTCAGGAATTGGCTACAGCGCAGCTGATTGTGTTACAACAATGCTGTTGTATAAAAAAAAATGCTCTACTTAGTGTGCATCAAATTGTAATATCTGCTGAATGAGAAAAGGCAGCAACACTGTGTCTTCATCTGTTTTCCAACACTGTGCTGATAGGTTTATCAGCTGAAGAAAACTAAAGTAAACGTACTGCTGATGAAGCCGGCCATGTGTTCTCTGGTTACTTCTACACAGGGACGTAGAGGAGAGCTTTTGTTCTGGGGTAAAAACCTGGTGTTGCAAGCACCTTTCAGCACCCACTGATTCAATTCACATTTACAGCTCCAAACTACACAGGTACTGCTCTGGAAGAGGGTTGAAAAGCTTAGCAGTCTTCAGGAGTCTGTAACCAGAATCTCTGCTCCAGCCATTATAATTCATCTTTCCTATATGAAATCATTTGTAATGTTGTGTGAAGTTTAGGTACAGCAGCAGGGGTTGAATATTCTCACTTATGCATTTCCACAAGTATTTATAGAAGACTGTGTTTGTGAATATTTGGACAGCAGGAAAATGTGGTAGATAGTGAGGATGCCAGAGAAGAGGAGAGGCTGTTCTGTTCTCTTACCTTCAGTTCCTACGGTGTTTCCACCATAGTATTTGGCAGTATGGTAAAAGGCAGGCAGACTGTTTGGAAGCATGCACACTTTTCATGAAAATCCTCTGCAGATTCTTCTTTTCTTCATCTGCAATGAGCTAAAAACAAACAAACAAACAAAAAACTCAACTCTTTTATGACAAAACATCACAAAATGACACTGATTCAAATTTTAAACCTGGGACAATCACACACACAGTAGGATTAATCTTTTGTCTCACAGCAAGGCACCTCATGCAATAAAATGAAATGAAACGTGGCCTTTAAATGTCAGACAAGATGATCATCTTATTTTAAAAGCTCATTCAGCAAAAAAAAAAAAAACAAAACACAAAAAACTATAACATCAGTAACATTAGCCAGGTTGCAGGTTGGAATGATGTACAATGACGTAAACTGCATAAGGCACACAAAAAAAACAAAAACAATTCAAGGATAGAAAGGAAAATGTAGATAGAAAGCAGATAATAATAGATATCAAAATGAGCTACCAGAGGTCAGACTGTAATGCACATTGTAGCACTACGGCAGATTGCAAGGTTGGTTATTTCCACTTCATGTGACTTGCAATAATAAACCGATGCAGGAAATTGGCCTGAAATGATGTTTCATCCATATGGTTGCAATGTTAAAGTCAACATTCGTATTCCTCTGGGTTATCATTAGTACTGTAAAATGCAAACATTGCTGCCAGGTATTTTCAAACCAAAAGAAAGAAAAATGAAAATAAAAAGCCAAAGTAATTATGTCTCTAGGACCAAACAGACATGTTAATTCACCATGTACGTTATTGTAGATTTTAGATCTTATGTTCCATCCTACTAATAGTGACTCAGTATTTAATTGTTTCTTCCCTCACTGGACCTTATATTACATTAAAAATTTAAAAAGCCAGTAACAGTTTTTGAACTTCATGAACATGAGAAATGTTATCAGCTGGACAGAATTCAGTTAAAGGACAGAGCCAGCTCAGCCAAACCAAACATCACCAGATTTTCTTACTGATCATTGGCGATATCCAGCCGTACAGATAACATCTGCATTTTTTTCAAACAGTGCTTATTTACACTGGGAACCTAGTACAGATGGCTGGACATCTGGCTGCACCTGAGACCAGAGAACTTTGCCTCCACCTTTCTAGCAAGTTACAGTATATTGTGAGCAAGAACAGAATATAGACTTGCTGTGTATTTAGATAATTACTTTTTATTGCTTTTGTGGCAGGGGTATTGTGCTGCTGCCTACAGGCAAATATCACGCTTCCTTATTATGCACATCTGACTTTGGTGAAAGAATCCCTTGGATCTCCACCCCCAACACAATTAGCATAAATACTCATGTATTGCATGTATGAATATGTTTCTGGTCAATATGAAAATTACAATTTGCACTAGCAGCACAGAATACATAGACATGACTGTGCACTGGCACCCATAGACACAGTATGTTGAAAAAAACCCATGATATTATTTTGTCTTAGCGTCAGATTCTCAAGATCTTCTCAGTTTCATATTCCATTATGGATCGCATATATATAGTTCTATGTCCATAATGGCCAACATAATGTGGTTAAAGCAGAAGATCACTGGTTGTGACATTGCAGGAACACAGCGTTATACTTTAGTGTACTCACAGGCCAGGCAGCATTCTGGTAATGTGTTAAAATTAATTAAAATCTAATTGCAAAACCAGTTTTCTGTGGTGAAATTAAATGAGAGTTTTAACTGCCAATCCTAACTCATGCTAAATAAAAAAATATATATATAGGTAAAGTGGTTTTAATAAAGTTAAAGTGAGGCAGGAGAGCTATAGGGTCTCTCTGGGTTTTGCCAAATGTCTACTCTGCCTCTGGCAATGAGAATAATTGCCATTTGTTAGATGATAATCATGATTCACTAAGCAGTTAAAGCATCTACCAAGCTTCATCTTGACTGATATAAAATAAATCTGAGAAATGCTTAGCTGTGAATCATAATTACATGAGAAACATCTGAGTGATGATTAAAAGAGACGACTGCAATTTACACAAAACCTAGCAGAGGATTTTTATTCTGAATCAGAAAAGACAAAGAGAATAAATGAAAATGTTCCAAGTGAATGTTTTCTGTATCAGTTTAGTGCTTTCACTCTTGTCATCTCTCTGCTAGTGTTGCATTGCAGAATCATGACATAATTTTCAAATGCTTTCAGTGTCTGTAATGTTCTCAATGACAAGTCTGACAGTGGAATTGGTTCTGCTACAAGCAATGCTCCAAATGCTCTCAACATAAGCTGTGCTCTGAACTATGTCACATGCCAGATAATCATAAAGACACTTTCAAGATGATGTTATAGATTAACAATTCATAACAGACTCCATTTTTCAGCTCACACTTGAGCCAGATGGTGAAATTGCTTAGAGAAGCATAACTTTGATATGATCCTGTGATGGTATACTCTGTTTGCATGGTGTGACCACAAACACATGCTGCTCCTTAAGAGAATCATTCTTCATGGGATATGTTCTTGATCATTTGTCATAATGGACATACGTAGAAGGGTTCTGAGATAGCCAGACTGATTCTACATATAAGCAAAAGAAGGAATTTAACCTTTACTACAAATAGATTTGATTTCAGAGGTTTCTTTGAAGAAAAAAATACACTGGAAAAGTTTGATGGTGTTGTGGTGAACTGGCTGTCAGGTGGTGTTGATGTAAAAATATTCCAAAATGTATGAAAGTATAAGATTTTTAATGTGGTTTCTGCATATAGAACATCTTTATCTGCACCAGTTTGATGTCAGATCTCCATAAAAGCAATCACATTTCTCTCTCCTCTTGCCTTTATGGACTGACAACATCTGAGAGTACTGCTGACTATGTTTTTTGTGTGTCTTGTCCCCATACTGTTGCTCCAGCTCCACCCACCTGCTGCTAAGAGCCATCCAGCTGGGATAATTGCCCCTCAGTACCCCCAGTCCTCACCCCCGTCCACCTTTCCTGCCATTAATGCTGCCTGAAGGCCCTCGGTTACACACACAGGGGATACTACCATGGCAGCTTTTCGTGCCCTATGTCTCTCTTTGGTCTCTCATCCTCAGTCTAACTGCACATTCATTTTAATTTAAAACTGTTAGGACTGGGTAATGATGACATTTGTCACTGGGAGCTGGGGGTGTCTCTGGGGTCTTCTGACAGAGAAAAGAGAAATGGAAATCAATCCACATTAAAAAAAAACAAGGGGATGGGGGGGATGGAAAAATAAAATGCCAGTTAATCCGTCCCCACTGACTTTGTCTGTATAAATCAAAATGCTAAACCCTACTGTTGAAGCCCTTACACAGTGATGGTACCGTAACCTTTCTAACTGCAAAGACTTCTCATTGTCTAATGGCAATTTGTGCCTGAGACCAGACAACACTGCAATACCATGTCAGCAAAGTACATGAAACAAAAGTCCATGTGACTCTTGGTAATAAATACTCTATTTATATGCAAATAGATAGTATACTTAAACCTGTGTCAGATAGTGACCTACCTGAAATGAAATGATCACTTCAACCTACCATGAAGACAACAGGAGAAAATAAATCTCTGCAAATATTGAAGTAATTTAAAAGACCTTCCAGCATTTAAACATCAGACCATTGATTTGAGCAGACATGCAATCAGTCCATTATTCCAAGGACACATGGAAAAACAATAATTACCAAAACGCTTCAAAGACAAATAGGTATAAGCTAAATGGTTGCTCTTTTTGTGGCAGTAGAATCAATCTTTAAATTGTATTATACTGTAGCTATATATTCTGAATTTGAGGTTATTGTAAGGGCATAATAAATTTGGCTTTGTCTCACTGCTTTGTGTTTGGCTCATTTCAAATTCAGTAGCATGTGTAGACTAAAGCATGCCACTGAACAAATATTTTCCACAACTGCTCCAACATGATACAGTTAATATGCAGGAAGGCTTGTGGGAAATCCTGATGAGTGTCCTTGAAATAGAAAGAACTATCACATTTGATAAGAATATCTCTATGATGCACAGACATGTAAACTCACAAACAGAATGGGTTCAAACTCGTTACAAACAACAGTCTTCCCCTCCTGAGGGAAGAGTGTGATGCAGCTTGGAATAAAGATGAATGACCATTTTGGATCCTGAAAACAGCAAGCTGGAGGTTTCACTTTCAATCCTATGGTTTGTCCAGTTCAGGTACAATTGATTTCAATTTAAACAAAACTGTGTAGTACTGTCACCGCCGCTGACCTGACAGAATAAAGGTTAAAACTGGCTTGTTGTAGTCCTACAACTAAGCACAATCTACAGCATGCTGTGTCAAGGGTTACTGCAAAAAGAACTGAACTTGGGATAATCACTGTGGTTTTGTTTGTGCTTTCCTGTTTTGTTGCCAAGCCACAAAATAAGGTCTATGCTTAGCTGTGAAGCTTTGTTGTTGTGCTGTCCTGTCTCCTCAGACACAGAGACTCCATATAGCCTCAGTCACTCTTAGAAAACATGACATTCACCTTTGCCATTTCACCCACTGCTCACTGGAGATGAACCAGGCCAGGGAAACAGGATTACTTGTTCAGGCCACATTTTCCTCATTAGGTTACTCTGTAAAAGCAAGCACACAGTAGGAAGCACAACTGCTCTTAGACATGTGGAAAGGTGTTGGCTTCCCCCTACACTGTCTCTGTTTGTCATTTAGTGCTGCTCCCCAGTGTTCTTGTTACTGCTCTCAGAGGAGATAGTATGTCAGTACAATAAACCCACACAATCCTCAGCATTCAGTGTACCATAGCAAGAGAGGGTGAGGGCTAGTTTCTTCATATCAGTAAAGGTCAGAGGGGAGGCTTCATGTTCTAACTCCTGCAGTGCACAACTGGGGGACATTAATACTGCATCTGTTGCGAGTTGAAATTGTGTCAATGATAGAAAAGGCATAAAGCAAGATGAAAAGAGCAGCCTTTACTGGTATCCATGAGAGTAAATCGTTCACTTTAGTGTTTCTCTAACTCCAAATTAATATTGATTTGATTCAAGAACCTTAACAGATTAACACAAACTATAACATGGTACCATGCTGTCATCTAGTGGCCATAAAAGTGAAACACAATCACATGAAACAAAGTCCATAACCACTTTTTACTTAAAATATGCACATACAATAGTAATTTTAACCAATGAAAATTAATAAAAAACATTCAGCTTTAAAACAAAATGTAACTGTAGCCAGTACGACAGTATCATTGAAAAATGAGGGAACACTTCACAATTATAAACACAGGCCACAAATAACATGGGCAAAACGAGCAATTAACAGCATGGACCAACAGTTTCTGTACAACTTCATCACTGAGGATGTCAAATAGATCTTGTTTCTGACTTTTTTGAAGTTCCACTGTAGCCATGTTATGTGGTTTTTGAGTCACATCATCTGTCACTTTATTTCAGTGCAGAGAACCGTGACTCTACAGTGTAGAGAGAAACTGTCAAAGGGATTTCTCATGCCAAATTTGGCAAGCCTGTCATTAACATCTCGCATATTAAAGCAAGAACGTGTTCAGATGAGATCACTCGAGTTCCTTGAACCGAGCAAACATGGCCTTGCGTACTGCTTGCTTATAGGTGGCATGGTCCCAAACGACAGGCTCCTTTTTCCTCTGCTGAAGAGACAAATGCAATGAAAGGTTTAATAAATGAACCAAAACACCATGAGATTGATTAGTAAAATAAAACTTCACACCTACCATGACAGGTTCTGCCCCTAAGCCAGGCCTCTCACTGACTTTACTTATCTCCCTGAACAAAGATATCAAATTGTTAAGCAAACTCCTAGAACTTAGAGCTTTGTTTCCCACTTTTATCATTTCAATCACACCCACCTGGAGCTTCCAGCCCAAGTATTATGCTGCTGTGGCTGTGGGTGATGGTGTTTTCTTCTTTTCTGTTCTGGTGATCTGGAAGTTTCTCTGGCACTCAGCTGTGGAAGATAAACTCCACCTTCAGCAATCTACTTACAACATGAAAATCTACTCCGGATATTTTACCGTTCACTTACTTCTTTTTCTTGGTTCTCCAGTGCCTCCAACTCCTTCTTTGACCGCTTGATCTTAAGATGAATCTCCATATTTTGCTGTTGAGACAATATATTGAGTATTAGCGGGTATATTTCTAAAATCACTGACAACTATTGTTCATTTCGAGGTTAATAAATAGTACTTTATGTAGGTCTGAAAGCTGCTGGTGGCGGATCAGAGCATCCTTGTTGGGGAACTGTCTCCTACATAGCAGGCAGGCCATCTTCTTCCAGTCTGTCAGTTTGTCATCCTTGTCCTCAGAGTGGCTCCCCTGACTACTTTTAGCTGCCTCCTCCTTATCCTCCTCCACCTCTTCATCACTTCCAGCTGCATAGTCTGATGCCAGCAGGCCCAGAGAGCCAATTGGACGCTGACAAAGCAACCACACAAGTATTGAAAACAGTTTTTTTCAATCAAGTTTGTTTCTTACATTCCTTTATCATATTTAAAAGGGCACAAGCACGCTAAGTGACAGATTAATACCTTTGACTTTTCATCTTTCTTAGGTGGAGCAAGGGGCTTTTTGAAAAGATCTTCTCCACCTGAGATCTGGGGATGAAAACAAGGAGCACCATGAAAAACAAGACAGCAGAAATCAATAGTTGTTGTATTTAAATCTTTGTAAAAATCCATGTACTATGTAGACAGATGTACAGGCACAGGAAGTGCATTCCTAACCTTCCTCTCAAAAATAGCGAAACCAGCATCAGCCGACTTGGACTGCCTCTTATCATCATCTATTCCAGTCCTCAGCAATGGTGATGGGGCACGGACACTATCCTTTTGTCGATTCTGGATCTTTGCCCACCGTTCCATGTCTTTCATGATCTGCAAATGACAAGCTCCTTAACTAGCTGCATTTTAAACATACATATCTCCCTTTTGTGTGCACTGGTATTATAAGTGAAGTTCTACCTTGACAGCAGCAAGACTTCTCTGTTTGTCCTCTTTATCCTTTTCTTTTTCCTTTTTAGCAGAGTCGTCATCTTCTTTCTTCTCAGTAGCTGCAGTGGAAGAAGTCAAGACATGTTCCGGAGCAGAGCTGGCAGCAGATGCTTGAACTTCTGCCTGAGATGCTGTCACTGAAGGCACTGATGGTTTCTTCATCTCTAGAGGAGCATCAGCTGCTGGGTTCGAAAGAATGGCCTGGTCTTCAGCGGTCATGGTCACAGGTTGTGACTCTGATGAATTCCCTCCAGGAACTGGGACGTAGGTCTTTGACACGGCATCCCAGTACATATACTCCTGGGTCTGAGCATTGTAGAAATACTACACACAAAAAGGGCGAAAACAGGGAAATGAAAACTTAATGACAACAAAACCAATAATTAATGACACACTGTTTCCCTTTATATTAAATCATTCACATATTCTTATGAATATGCTACAATTAATACTTGATGAGCTCTTGCAAAAGGTGAGTCAATTATAAATAATCAACTCAGACAACAAACACAGCTGGTCTGTCACTAAAATAAAAGTGGGAGGTACTGGTAATAAATCTTGAATGTGGGATCAAACCACAAATCTTACGCACGTCTTTACATCAACTATTGAAAACAGTTTGCAAATTACAGCAGGAGGTTAAATGTCCAATAAATATGTATGAAAACCACTTGTTTCAAGATCCAATTACTTCTGGGCAAATGTGTATTAGTTGTACAGTATTTAATATTCTTTGGCAGGTTACGGACAAACAGCATTTCATCACATTACAGTGACCTAACGCTTTCTCACCCTAGAGCTAGGGTCGTAGTATAGTGTGGTTTCAGGATCATAGTAGAAGCCTGACGTGGAATCGTACAAGTAGCTGGACATGTCTGGAGTCTCAGAGCCTGGAGAAAACAGGACAAACACATATGACCAACAAACAACAGAGATATTCAGAGAACTGGTTCAACTTCAATCATGAAAAACGAACGATTCACAGCTACCATGTTTATGACAACTGTGGTAGTTTTGTCTGTAATGTGACTTGAATTGAAATCATGTGAGAAACTATACCAATGTGAAATAGTCAATTATTCACCCATTTTCAATTTCATTACAAAAAATGAATACAAATCAAAGAAAAAGGAAAAATGAATCAAGGATGGCCAATCTCACACTATCATTATTTGTATTATTCTTCTACACTTAAGACCTTTTCTCTTCAAGTCCAAAATGTCAGATTTAAGGCAAATGCAAAAGCATGTTACATTTAAATATTACTAAAACCATAAAGCCGTAATAATACTGAGCTGGATTCCAGATGAATTTGAACATTTGACTTATTTCTCACCATATATGCACGTCTGTGATCCGTCTGCAGTAGCGGCAGCTGATTCTGTGGGCACCTGAGGTCCACCAGTGAGCAATGAAGGCTCTACAGCTGGAGCCTCAGTGTAACCAACTCCCTGTGAAGTGTTAATGGAGACATCCAGTGAACTAACAGGCTTTGAGGAGAGATATCAGCCTCTTTTGCATTTTGCTTCACAACCTACCTGGTTAATGCTGGGGTCTGATGGCAGAGAGAGGTTGGTGCCAGTCATCAAAATACCTGGTGATAAACATGTGACATTGTTTAAGACCATTTTAATAAACAGTGTGTGGTGACCAAGATCCTTGACTGTGTCTGATGAAGTCTAACCTTGCATTAAAGCAGGAGCACCAGCAGGTGGCTGCAGAGGTAGCAAGTACAGTGGAGGCTGTGGGTACTGCTGCTGCTGCAATGCCAGGACAGAAATCATAGTTCACTGAAGAACTCGAACTACGCTTTTTTTTCCATTAACTGAAAGTCAGTACAATAAAGACTACAACTTACACCCATCATGCTGGCCTCAGGTGGATACCCAAGGATAGAGGTGTTTTGTTTATCAACATCTCTTTTGTAACTGTATAAGACAGAAAATCATCAGGAACAAATGAGATGGGATTTCTCTATTAGACATGATAAGAAAATCCTTGCGACACAGTGACTTACTTTGGGTTCTTCAGGGGTTTGGCAACCTCAGCATAAACTCGGACTCCGTCAATATAAAGGGGCCGAGGTTTAGTGAGGAGTTCAACCAGACGTTTCACTTGCTACAAAAGAAGTCACTATGGTAAGTGCATGAAAATTACAGGGAAACATTTGACATAAATAATAAAAATCTGTTAGAACATGAAATCATAAGCACAAATTATTTTTTGGCACCTCATGGGAGTCCATATCAACAAAGCAGAAGCACTTTGATCCAGGTGGCTTGGCCTTGACGAGACGAACATTTCTTTCATCCAGATATGCAAAGGGATCTAATGCCTTCAGGATAGTCTCTACTGTGGTGGTGGGCTTAACGTTCTTTATTATCATGGCTATAAGGTAGCAAAAGAAAAATGCTGTTAACTCAGTTAGGAATAAAAATCTCTGAACAAATATATCCATGAACTGCTATCATTTATGGCCACAAAATAACAGTTTAAGTTAAAGTACTTTTGCTGTCTTTAAAGACAGAGTCAGATTTGTGGAGAAGAGGAGGAGGAAGGTTGCGGTTGCCATTGGCCCAAGACTCTGCCTGTTGCTCCGTTTCTTGCTGTTGGAGCTGCTGGTCCATCTGCTGTTGCCAGGCCTCTGGAGTCAGGTCAGAGCTACGCTCCCACTGGTTGTGGGGCAGTGGATCCACAGGAGCTTTTGGTTGGGACCCATTCAGGCTAGTCTTCGACTCTTCTAAAGGTTCATCTGGTCTAGGCAACTTGGGCACTTGGACTTTGTGATCTGATTCCTAATTTACAGAGACAAGAAGGAAAGTCAGTTAATGCTTTTAACTGTGGTAAACAGCATAGTGAATGCACACCAAAAAAATCTCAAATTCTGGCTGGGCTCTTTGTCTGAGCTAAAATGCCATTAACAGGCTATTATTAGAAATCACGCTTTACTTCTTTCCCTTTTTTCCCTCAGTTTATTTTACTGAGCTTTCCTGTTGTCTGCTTAGCTCCAGTTTGTCCTTTCAATTTGTTGCTATTAGTGTTTGAAGTTAATGCAAACTTAAATTAGTCCATTAGTACTTCAGAGTGTATAATCCAAGGCTTTCACTGTGAAGCACCCACAGCGTGAAGATGGTTTTTCTTGATGCATCTTTTTGTTCAGAAAAAGTGACTACGAAGAATCACTGAGAATTAATGAATCAATGACTATTACCTCTATTTCTGTAAAAAGAAACTCAGAACAATACTGGTACGATTATGTTGTACTAAAATATTGTAGAAATTGTTCATTACCCAATCATTATTCAAATACTGGCTTTTATTTGACAATTTGCCAAACTAATAAAAAAAAAGTTTTTAAATCATCCTGTCACTAAACTCACATGAACACCTCCTTCCTGCTCATCTGACTGGATGAATTTCATTGTGGCTGTTCTAGTACCAACCTTTAGGGATCCCTGAAAGAAAGAAAATAAAAAAGGCAAAGATAAATTAGTATTAACACTATAACAGCTCATACCAAAATAATATCAATGATACCCAACATGCACTGTGACAGGTTTAGCCCTCCTCTTCACTGTTGAGGAAAAAAATGGGCCAACACTTAAGGTGCTTCGCACAGACCATTTGCCCCCATACTATATTAAATAGTTTAAAGGAAACTACAAATTTCCTAAAACACAAGGTCACACCCTCAAATTACTTTTAACTGACCAGAACCCAAAGACAAGCAGGGGGTGTTCTATGTATGTGGATTAATAAGTTAGCTGGATAAAAATGCTGACAGTTTCAGATTATCCTGGATCCTTTGGATTGCTTGAAAGTCTCACGGGACTTGCTGTCACGGCAACATGTCTAATCTCAAATCTGCTCAGTTCTCAGGTTTATTCAATGTAAACAAACTTTGAAGATTTTAAGCATCTTGGAGCAGCAAGCAACTCACTGCCAGAGAAATAAGTTTAAAGATAACAGTATTAAGAGATCAACAGAAGCCTTTGGCCCATCCCAAACTGTACCATTTCAGTCAGGATGAAACAATTTATTGAGGTGGACTGCTGATACCTCATATTAAGAAAGCTGCATTCTTATCGCCAGTCACAGTGTGCATTAACCTGAGATATCTTGCAAGATAGTTTTTTTTACATATAGGGTTGTTTGTGGAAAATTTAATAAACCACCCTTTTTGAGCTATTTTAAAAGTGTGCCTGGCTCTGAAACTATTCACGAGTTTTCCTAGTCTGCCTTCTTTCTATATGCCTTGAGAACAAAAGGATCTAAATCTTATTACAATTTTTCTCAATAGCTGTGGCCAAGTTCATTTACTGTATCTAGGTTACAGTGACTTCAGAAAGGATTCCCACCCCTACATTTTACTACTGTAAATTCATACTGAAATTGAAAAGAAGCACTTGGAATATGTAAGGAGTGAAGGGGTGGGAATCCTTTCTGACAGGACTATGTGTAATTCATAACAGTTGAGTCACTGACATATTTTAACAAATGTCAATATATATGGTCTAGTGACTAGATTCTAGTCACTGGCCGTGAGATTATGCACTTATCTTAGATGACTGAATCCAGCTTTTCCCAATCATAACATAGGTGGGAGTTGGAGAACTGAAATATCCGGATAACTTTTAGCTGACATTGGAAAATCCAGAATTGCTCATTTGAGCTAGGATTTGTTTAGCAACGTACAAAGAACACCCCCTCAATCACTACCACAGAAAACAAAGGAGAGCCGCAAACCATTATAACTGAAAAGCTGTAACTAGGGAACGTTTGGCATTTTAGCCTGGAAACGATTAGTGATTTAAAAAGTTGCGGATTAATTTTCTGTCACTTGGGTAGCTACATTACAAATACATCTGAGCCTAGTACAAGGACCACTCATATCCACAGGAAAAGATAAATAAATGATCCAAAACAGAACTTTGTAGTGCATCCAAGTACCACACTCATCAGAGGGAGGTTACAAACCAAACAAAGCTAAACTGCATTCGTACAGAAAGAGATGAGCTGTTTCAAAGGGAAACTCACAGCACACCAAAGTCACCCATAATTCTATGTACTGTTTGTCAAATTCAAAAACTCATTTGCTCAAAAATCATCATCATACATAAGTGCATTCGTCACACAATCTACTAACTTGGTCCTGAAGCATTTAATAAATAAATAAAAAGCGGCCGGTATTTACTTCTCATGTAGATTCAAAGTGGGCATACAAATCTGATGCTACAATTGCTGATCACACAGCTAACTGCATCATCTATCTAGTTTTTAATACTGACCTATCACAAGTAACAGAACATACACAAAAAAATAAAGTTGCAGCAAAAACAAAGCAGTACAGGATCAACCCGACTAAGAAACAGCAGGGCCAGACACACTGCTACACATTTCAGCAACAATCCAACAAATTCAAATTTTATTTGTATAGCACCAAATCACAACAAAAGTCATCTCAGGACACTTTACAAGGTCTGGACCTTACTATTATCACTATTATTATAGAGGAAAACCCAACAAATCCCCCTTGAGCAAGCACTTGGTGACAGCAGGGAAGAAAAACTCCCTTGATCCCATTTATCAAAGGATCAGGTGCAAAAGCACAGAGGTCCTGGCCAGTGCTGTTAACAGTCTCCAATGTCTCAAGATGAGAACTTCATTCAAAAAATGCAAGTTGAAATCCCAGTGATCAAATTTCAAGTTCAAGAGAATACAATGAAGGAGGGGTTGCTCTCCCTCTGAAAAGCAAGACTGACTGAAAAAGAGATGATTTTGCCACATAACAAGATGGCACTAGATGAAAAGTCAGGAGACAACCAGTGTTGACAAAAACCATAAATGTCGGAACCATATTTCAAATTTTCCATCCAAGAGCTGTCAAAATTTCCCCAATGAAGCACAACTGTCAACCCCATGGTAGTGGTCAAACAAAAGTCAGGGGATAACCAAAGTCATTAGGATTCACCCTCTATCCACCATGGATACCTATACCAAATTTAATGGCAACCCACACAACAATCTGAGACATTGCACCAAAAAACCCAAAATGTCAACCTCCTACTCACACTAAAGTAAAGTCTGGGGATCATCAAAGTTAGCAGGCTTTTTGTAATGGGGACCACGAAGTGCCTGTTCAAACCTAAGTGGTAATACAGCCAGTTGTTGAGATATTTGAACCTGTACCAAAGTGGTGGCACAACCAATTGACAGACAGACCACCATTGCCTTCCATATAGCTACAGTGCTAGTAGACATAAAAACTGCCAGAAGCAATATACACCAATATAGAGATGAAAAAATTATACAGAAGTTCTGATTATTACCAAAACTTTATTCTCATAATTACTACTGGACTGGGGGGA